ACTGAAGCTGAACGGCGAGTCATTAGCGAGCAGAAGAAATGAGGTTAACGTTCCTTCTTGCGCTTCGACGCAGCAAAGTTTCGTCTTCATCGGACCGGGGGCAAGGTTGTTTCAAGACGTCTCTCGCCCCTTTATCTGCCCGGCAATTCGTCACTGTCCTCGCGTTCCAGGATTTTTACGAAATTTCCCGGATCCTCGGGCCACGCTTCGGTACACACCAGCATGACGAATCGTCGTCGCGATATTGTTCTTTTCGAATCTCTAGGATTTACGAACTGTGTAAGAGCAAAATACTGGCGCATGCGCATCCTGGATAGGGACTTTCTTGAGTTTCTATACTATGCAACGATGTGTAGAATATGTATTCGAAAATAAAGTTTTTTTTTTTTATAAAAGATGAAATATTTAATTTAAAAAATTTTATTCGTGATTTTTATGATGATAAGAAAACAAATTATTATTTATAAAAATAAAATATTGCAAGATCGAAGATTATTATTTTTTTTTTGTGGAAAATTATATATAATATCATTATTTGAAAAATTTTATTCCGGAATGAGGGAAAATATTTTTGCAATGGAATTCTATAAAATATTGCTCTCAAATTTTAATGAAATTTTGTAAACAGAAGGATGAAAAATTCAAAGGTTAGAAATTATAAATAAAAATAAATAATTCTGAATTGCAATTAGTAATCTAATAGTAATAGTTTTTTAAAAATATCGATTTATTCTTTGTACTAATACAGATGTATTTTTATTTATTTACGAATTTTACTATTAATATTGAATTTGTATTGTGAATTTGTAAATAATCTTCATTTTAGAGACACGATATTTACATCAATTGTAGTATCTGATAATGAGTCAGAATCAATGACCTAGATAACATATATCAAATATGTGTTCCCAATTAAATATCTTGTTTACTGTTTGAGTAGATATTACAATAAACGCCTATATTGATTTTATCTCACTCCGTGTACCGTTTCAAATAACACGTGTGTACAAACAGTCACGCGTTAAGAACTGCACGAGCTATTCGATGCAACTGGATCATTCGTGGATCTGCAAAGTGCAATTACACGTACTCCCTTATGTTTACAACCTGCCCGTGTTTACTAACAACTCATCGTGTTCATACGCATTGGTCAGTTTCTAATATCACGGAGATCAAATGTTTTCCAGTCAATATTGATCACGGAGAGAATTTTATCGATTATCGAACACCAAGAAATTAGATTTGATCTAAAAAAGTTGAAACGAGATATTAAATTCATAAATGTTGACAGAGTGGAAGTTCGAAAATAAAGTTTATTATATAACGTAACACATTGCATTTTGCATACTTATTTAAAAACTTGATATAATATTTTGAGAAGATATTTCTTAATAATAAGATACCATTAATATTCAACGTCAAAAAGATAGTAAATCTAACTTGGTTCACCATGTGCCGTGGCAAACTTATTTCGTATCTTTAATCAGCATACTTTGGTGACAAATCCTATATATCATTACTTGCAAAATGTTCGCTACATATTCAGTGACACTGCATGTAGATTATCCACATATATTAATCGCAAAATTGTATGCGCTGCACTAGGATCTGGTTATTGTTCTTTTTCGCATATGGCCGTAGAACTTACGGGCTACGGTATCAGAAAATATGTTGCTCGCGCATGCGCGGGCACGCTGACTTAACAAACACGATCTTAGCGCACAAACTCGAGTCCGCGAAAGTAGCATCGCTGCACTGGCTAAAAACTGTACGGCTAATTTCAGGGGAGTCCGCTTAATCCAATTTACGACTCGCTGAAACATTTATGCCGCGTAAAATTTGCTTATGCAAATCACGCGCAGTAGTTACCAACTCGGCATAGTTTTACACGTCGAGCTGAATGTACGATCGCTGCCATTTTTTTTTTTTATTCAACACGATTAAGCAAAATATTTAGCCATAATAACGTTAACATTTTTTAAATTATTTTAAATCAAAGAAAAAAAAAAAAAGAAAAAAACAAATCAAAATTTATACGCACGAATGAAATAGCTATAGCTCGATTAGTCTTCGCTCTAATAATATTCTCGATTCCATTTCCAATTTCGATAGTTTGTACCACGATAATAATTCGTTCCACGGTAATAACTGCAACGGAACAAACAGTTCGTTGAAATACATTCTCCTCATCCTTTGAGATCACGTGTAAGTTGGCGTGCAAAGACGTGACGCTGTGAAGAGTCAATTGTCAGAATCATAGAACTGTTGTACCGATCGATCGGTGGACTGAAGGACGCATAATCCGAACCTTACAATCCTTCGTAGCTATGATTGAAATTACGGCGTCATTTGCAGCCGGAGGGTCGAGATCAAAGCCTTTGATCGTTGCGTTCGAGAGACACTGTGACAGACGCGCGCGCGCACGCGCAGCTCACCCTTTGTATCATCGAACATAAATTGTTGCGCGTCAGACACGCGGTCAGCGGCCATTCCACGCGTAAACAGTCGTCACGCCGCCACGCGTGAAAATCGGTGTAAACGAATACCTAGCGAATGAACGTACGAAGCGACATCTAGTAGTCGGTTATGCAGTTTCGACTTGTGCTACGTACTATGCATGCTCGATTCCATAATAAGATTCAATGGTATTTATGATCTACAATCCAGACATTTTTCTTTTCGCGGGGCCATTCGTTGGATGGACAGATAGAAATACAATGCGATCATAAAGTAAAGTTTTTACCATGTAGTGACAGAATTGTGTGCAACATTTTATAGGATTTCAATGGGGAAAAAAATTAAAGCTTTCAAACTTTATGTGTTTTAACATTCGTTTGTTAGGCATTTGATATGTGAATACTTCTGTGATTAATTGATTTTCAATCTCCACTCTTTTTCCAGTGGTTCTTCTATAAGAGGGAAGTTTGCAGTGAAACTAGTCAACGAATAAG